GGACCCACTTTTGCTTTCCCAGGAAAGCAGCTGTGCATTTTAAAGAGAAGAAAGAGCCCCAGCCTTGATTATAAACACTATATTTTGGCTACTAATGGTAGAAATGGTAGGGAATCAGATGTGTGGCCCCATCGTCTATGCAGATCTGTCCTCTGGGAGTCAGGGACAGACCTACATAGAACAAGATTGTGAAATCCTTTGAGGATAATGGGGCCGGGCTGTTAGACCTGGGATGCTTGGGGGCAGTTTGAGCTTCCTGAGCCTCAATTTTACTAGCAAGAACATGGGATATGTTGCTCTTCACTTGATCCCCAGGGTGAGAAAGAATAAGGCCTGTCACGATTGTGTGAGCCAGTAACAGGCACTGTCATGGCACCGCAGCTGGTTGGGACTGGAAGGCTGGAGTTCAATGACAGTGCCCCACCAGGGTCCCTTAGGCATTTCTCCTTCTCAAAGCCAGCTCTTCATCCACTGTGATCTCCTTGAGTGGACGGAAGCCCCTAGGAAGAGACCAAGTGTTCCCTCACCTGATAGGAAAAATTAATTCTCCTCTCTTTCAAGTAACTCCAGCTCCATTCTATAAGGATCTCTCATGGTAACAACTGTTCCTCTTTGCTTTTTTAAGTGTGCATTCTTACCAGCAGTCATGCAAGACAAGTGCATTTTCTGCCTAAAAGACCTAATTTCAACTTTGAGCTTTCCCAAACAACTCTGCCTTCCAGCTGTAGCTGGAAATTGTCCCCTTCTTGCAGGTTGATGTCCTGTTCTTTATGGTGCAAGCTGGTTGTTAAAAGCAGAGCCTCATAACACTGCTGATGGCAATGAGGAAGCAGAAGTCCTAATGCAGTGTGCAGTGATGTTTGTGATGCCTGAAAGACGCAGCTTTCCCGTGTGTAATATATCTTCGGAGATCACTTAACTGCGTGTTTGTGAGGAATGAATTCAGTGTCTTTTAACTAAAAGAGAAAATGCTTCAAGAAAGACAAGGGAAAATGAAGGGTTCCCAGGACACTTTGAGAAATAAAAGTTGAAGACCTCCTTTCGCCTCACTCCATGGCCTTGCTGGTTAGCCTAGACTTAGCTGATCTGGAGCTTAATTTAAAAGCAAAATCCAATTGTTCCTTTTACAGTGACAATCTCTCTACTCCTGTACAAGTCATCCTCATTAGCACCACCTCAGGGGCTTACAAAGACTCAGTCTGTCTTCAAATATTCTATTTTAATTCGAATACACTGTCTAGTGCATTATAGTCAAAGACACTTACCTGGTTGTTTCAAATGTGCAGGAACATACATGCTGCTGGTGCATTGTATGTTTCCAATAAATGTTATCTAGTTTTATTAATATGTACTTATTACTTATTTTCTTTTACATCCCCATTATTGTGTTAAGCATTTTCTATAAATAGCATGTATTAGCAAATCACTGTTTGAACCTATTGAATCATATTCAATTATGTGAGAATAATTGAGTTTTTGAGGACCAAGGGAATAGAGGATTGTTATTATTCCACTTTACAGAAGAGAAAACTGAGGCTCAGAGAAGCTAAGTGATTGAATTAAACCTGGAGTTAGGACTGATTGCTGATTATATCTCCTATCCTACCAAGACAGGGCACTAGCTTAGCAGATGCCCTGGGTCCTGTCCGTGGGTCTCCAGACTGTCTGTGAGGTGAGCTGACCTTCATGTTGTGGAGTTCTTAAGACAGAAACCACTGTGTGTTGCATGGGCCTTAGAGAGGACTGGCCCTTTTGAGCCAATGAATAGTGCAGAAAAACTGACACTGTGCCAGGGTGCTGAATTCAGGGTGCAATTTCTGTCTCCTGACTTGGTGGAACCAACTGTCTTCTTTGCAATGTGATGGGGTGGGAACTTGAGTCACTGCCTGCCTCCCACAAGGCCAGATCCATTGGCCACTCCTCTGTGGTGTTTGGCACGATTGGTTACTCCCTCCCTTCTTGAAATACTTCCTCTTTTGGCTCCAGAATGCCTTACTGCCTGCAGGTGCTAGCTACACTGCCCTGTTCCTTTTGCAAAATCCTCCTGCTCTTTCTGGTCTCTGGAAGAGACTTGGGCTTCTCCTACACATTCTGTGTCATGTTTTTATGGCCAGCTAAACGCAGATGACTCTCAGATTCATGTCTTCAGCCTTAACACTGCCCTAGATCTGAGGAATGTGTAAATCACCTAAGTGACAGCTCAGTATGGGCATCTACTGACTCTCAAAATTAGCTAGATCATAGCAGACCTCTTCATTTTCTCTCAAGTATCAATTACATACTGCAGTGTAATGAGCCATTGCAAACTTCACAACTAAAAACAATAGTAAACATTTATCAACTCATCTAATTTCTTGGATCAGGTCTATTGCGTTAGCTACCAATTGCTCTGTAACAAGTGAAATCACGAAACTAAAAGAATTGCTATCCAGGGGCTGGGGATTTAGCTCAGTAGCATAAGCGCCTGCCTTGCAAGCAGGCAGTCGTGAGTTCGATCCCTGGTACTGATAAAAACGAAAAAGACAAAAGAAAAAAAAAAAAAAACAAAGAATTGCTATCCAATGAATCACTTTCCAAACTTAAAATGACAAGCATTTACATTTTCAGTTTCTGTAGATCAGAAACCCAGCAGGTGCGGGCTGCACTGGCATTGCTCAAGATTCAGTGAAGGTACTGGCCAGGGTGCAGTCACTTGAAGGCTGGACTTGGGCTGGAGGATCCACTTCCTGCATGGCCCACACTGTCGCTGGATGGAGGCCTCGGTGTCTTACTAGCTCTTGACAGGAAGCTTCCGTTCCTTGCCTTGTGGACTTCTCTGTAAGATTCTTTCCTGGTTCTTTCCCTCACAACATGGCAGCTAGAGAGAGCCAGAGCAAAGACACCACAAGCCTGTTTTGACATAGTAAAGGAAGGAGGCTTATTACTGCTTTTGCTGTGTTTTTTGATTGTGCAGATCAACCCTGATGCACTGTGGGAGCAGACTACATAGAGCACAAATGGTGAGGGTCAGGGAATCCAGGAGTCACCTTACAGGCCAATGATCCCTCCTGTAGGCACTTCCCTCCATTAGGGTCCACATTTCATTACAGGGCCCACTGCTCAGGCCAAAATCCAGGCATCATATTTGATCCTCTCTCAAATCTCATCCAGCCCATCAGGAAATCCTGTTCCCCATCTTCTACCCTGAGCCTATCACTTCTCAGCCTATCTGCAGAAATCACTCGAAGCTCAGCCCACATTGACCATAGAAAGCTCATGGAAGTTCCTGTTTCCTCTCCTTCCTCTAAACTCTGTTCCCTGGAGCCAGTCATATGCCAACTTCGTTACTCCTGTCTGTCTGGCTCCCACCTCACTCAGAGAAAAAGCCAGCCAGAGAAGAGTGTCAGGCTGCCTGTGATGTGTCCGCTATTTGAGCCTTCCTACCCCTTCTCCTCTAGCAGACCCTCCTTGATGTCCCTGTGCCCTACTATACAGCTTATTCTCTCTGGGGAGCAGCTGTCAGCCATCACAGCACCCCTCAGAGACACAGGAGGACGGCCTACCCAAGATGGCCACCATTGCACTCAGCCCCCTTGCCCAGTTTGATTACTGTTTACCCCACCTTAGGACTAGAGTGTATACTGTACATGTGTTGGTTTTCTTGTTTGTCACCTGCCTTCTTATCTAGCATATAAACTCCAGGAAGACAGAGATACCTTTGACTTTGATTCTTGGTGGCTCCTTCCCCAACACCTGAAAGGGTGACAAACACATAGTAGTTGCTCACATATTAATGTGTGGAATCAATGTTTGAATTTGCTAAGGAGAACAACCATTTCATGCAACACAGTGCTGTCCAGGGGACTTCTCTGCAGTGGTGGGAATATTCTGTATGAGTGCCATGTGATGTGGTAACTGTTCACTGCTAAAAATGGGACTAACATGATTGAGGAATTGATTTTTTATTTATTTATTTTTATTGACTTTACACTGCTATAAGTGACCAACAACTTAGGCCAGAGCCAGGTTCTCAGGGAAGATGGAAAGGATAGCGTATCAAACTGATGTCATTTCAGCAGAAAGTCCAGACAGCCCAGCAGAAAGAGAGTTTTTAAGGCACTGAGTTATGAAGAAGCCTGAGGCCTAATCCGACTTTTCCGAATGCCATCTGTGCAGCCAGCTCTTTGCTTTCATATGATCATACAACAAAGAGGGCACTGTTTCAGTAGTGCTTTATGGCCTAAACAAGGAGGTAAACATGGTGTGATGTGGTGTATGGAGTGTCCTTGACCTCTGCCATTCTAAGAGCACCCAGAGCTCATTCCTAGTCCTTTCCAGAACATGATTTCTGGCACCCACACCTGGAATTATGTGAGAATGCTCCCTCCAGCATCCTGTGTCCCCAATCTGTCTCCCTCCCCTGGTCTTCACTATATTCCTTCAGTCCAGTCTTCAAAACCAGCGTGGAATGTTTTAGCTGAGATCAACTAAAGACCAACTGTCTTTTCCACGCATGTACACAAACACACACACTTGCAAGTTTTGGTTACTCTGAATCAGATTTGTACTTATCCAAGGAGAATGATGCATCTGTTTACTTTATGATTCACACAGAAACAAAAGCCACTTATGTAGCACAAGGAGCCATGTGTACAAATACATGTGCTATTTTATATATGTGGATGGAACACACCACCCTCAAGCATGTGAGTTCAGATGCAAGGGAAAAGGCCTCTCACCTCTGATATCTCTCCCCCCTAATGCTGACTGAGGACTGATGTCCTTTAGTGAAGGATGAGGTATTCATTTCCTGAGAAAGAAAATAGGCTTTACATACATCCTGAATAAAGCTCACCGAATTAGAACTCCTCTGTGACACACTTGGGCAGGAGTCTCTTCCCAGGTGGCCAATCCAGCAGGTGCCCCTCCATATCCTTTTATCTGTTGCTTTCATTCTGCTGGGAAGGTTTCAGAATCAGATCCAGTCTGTGAATATTCTCCATGCATGTCTGTCTTCCCAGGTGGACTACGATCGAGCACAGATGGTCCTCAGTCCTCCACTGTCTGGGTCCGACACCTACCCCAGGGGCCCCGCCAAACTACCTCAGAATCAGAGCAAAGCAGGCTATTGCTCAAGCAGCCACCAGTATCCCTCTGGGTACCACAAAGCCAGCCTGTACCACCACCCTTCCCTGCAGACCAGTTCGCAGTACATCTCCACTGCCTCCTATCTGAGCTCTCTCAGCATCGCATCCAGCACCTACCCTCCACCCAGCTGGGGCTCCTCTTCTGACCAGCAGCCCTCCCGGGTGTCCCACGAACAGTTTCGGGCTGCCCTGCAGCTGGTAGTCAGCCCGGGAGATCCCAGGGAATACTTGGATAGCTTCATCAAAATCGGGGAAGGGTCAACAGGCATCGTATGCATTGCGACTGAAAAACACACAGGGAAGCAGGTGGCAGTGAAGAAAATGGACCTCCGGAAGCAACAGCGGCGAGAGCTGCTTTTCAATGAGGTATGTGGTAGGGTGGCATTGTCTTTCCTCTCCAGCATCCCATTTCTTTCCCCTTTAAAAAATAGCACATGTACATTTTAGGACATTAGGAAGGCTCTGGAAATGTGAAGACAAACGTGGCATCCTCTGGAATCTTTGCTCCTAGTCTTGTTTTATGCATTTACTATTCCAGTAGTACTATGAAATACTTCATGTGTGCCAGCCACTGTGCCAAGCATTAATCCAGTGTGGCCTCCTAATATGGGAATCGCAGGGAGCAGAAAGGTGTGTATCAAGGAGCAAACCTTCTCTCAGACTATCTGCGTGACCAGCTCAGGATCATACGGCAAGCTGACTGCAGAGCTGGGGTTTGGATCCCCATCTTGCATATTGGAAGTCCCATGCTGCACAGTGTGGGGGTTACTGTTGTTCCCCAGGACCTGCAAGGGATGAGTTTCAGGACTGATGCAAGTTCTAAAATCTGTAAAAACTGAAATCTTTTATATAAAATGGAATCGATGCACATCCTCCTGTGTGCTTTACATCATTCCCAGATTACTTATAATATAACATAAATGCTATACAGATAGCTGTTATATCACATTAACTAATGACGAAAAAACGGTCTGTGCATATGCAGTACAGATGCTTTTTTGACGGGGAAGATTTATACCAGCTCTCTCTATGTAGTTAAGGCTGACCTCGAACTTATATGTACTCCAGGCTGGCCTTGAACTCACAGCAATCTTCCTGCATCAGCCTCCCAAGTGCTAGAATTACAGGTGTGCACCACTACACCCGGCAGATGCAGTTTCAAAAAAGCATTTTCTATTCATGGCTGATTTAATCCATGGATGTGGAATTCATGTATACAGCAGACTGGATGTGTACCTATTTCCACAGTGTTGTGATGCCATTTATAATTTTTGTAGCCAGTTTTTTTAATACAACAAACAGAGATGAGCTTACTAATATCCTGACTCTCACTCTTCAGGAACTTTAAAATATTCTCTCAACTATAAAAATAGTGACTTCTTCCTGAAAACATAAGAAAATGTCTCACATAACACCACAAACAAGTAATGTCCTACATTACTATTTTAGTATTTTTCTATAGTTTTTACTTATGTTTCCTTTCTTTGAGGTATTTCTATGTATGCAGCTTGGTAATTTGTAAGTTTTACCTAACATTTAATGTAATACAAATTAATATAAAATACAAATTATTCATGCCTTTTCTTAACTATATATTAAAAACATAATTCTAAAGGACTAATCTTCTATCACATATAATTAAACTAGTTTCTGATTTTGTTTGCAATTTGTGTCCACTCTAATTTTGTGGTGAGTGTTATTATTAATAGGTCTTTGGTGTCATATCTGATAACTTCCTTAGATTTGAAGGAGTAGAATGAACCGACCAAATCTACATAAAGGAATTTTAAGAAAAAGATATCCAATGACATGTAAGGTCCACATTTAGACTCTCACTCAGTAATACTCCTCTTTTACCATCACTAACATCATCAGATGCTATCGCACTACCCAGATTACCAGGTAAACATGAAGAGCTCTTACCATTTTAGTGAATACTTTTAGTGCTACATGTTTTGGGCCATTTTTATTTCTTCATCAAATCCTCGGTTCTTTGCATGCTTTCAGTTATGTTTGCAGACCCTGTCTTACTGGTGCGTGAGATAGTATGGACCCTTTCTCATATCCTCCTTGCACATCTCCTTCCATTGCCTGATGTATCATTTTCAGCTTACCACAAAGAGCTCCAAAACACACAAGCAAACATGAGTCATTGTACCAGGGATCATGAGCATTTTGGCATTAAGGGTATTAATACATCTTTAGTAATTTGATAAAAGCACTGAGGGACAGATGAGCTTTTGTGGATGGGAAATCGAAATCCTGAAGATCTCAAGTTAGGATGTCAGAATGTCTGTCCCCAAGTCTTGTAACTTCCCAAAGAAAGTGCAGCTGCCTGAGCCCTTCAGCTCCTGTGCATACTCTCTCAAAGGTCAAGCGCACTCTCTCTCCTGTCGTCATTTCCAGCGTCTTCCTCTGAGGCTCAGGTGCAGCCCCCATTTGCCTCCCCGCCTCCAGCTCTGCAGATGCTGGTTTCCTACACACACTGCCACTCTCACAGACGGCTCCGGCTCAGTGGGTTTCAGAGGCATCTTCTCTGTCTGCTGTTCCTGATTTCTGGAATTTATTCCCGGATCACAACACTGGGAAACATAGCTGTGATATGCAACAGATTACTAACTCTGAAACTCTGAAAGAAGTACACGGATGAAGCCACAGGGCAGTGATATCTGAACACTTTCTCCAACAAGCATCTTCAAGTTAGCCTTTATTATGCCTACATCATATTTAGTTTTCCCGCTCTAATGTATTTGTATTCAGACAAAACCTCCTTCAGATGCAACTGTACCTTTCTCCAAGGACTCAAATTGGTCACATGTGCCCCTACTTCTAATATCAATTTGCTTCATTCACTTATGGGACCCCTACCTACTTTCAATGAGTTGGACACCCTTCTGTAGGCTAATCCACAGTGGAATGTGGAGATACGTTCAAAAGGAGACCCTCAGGGTCACATCCCCCAGAATAGTCAGCTAAATGTCGGTAAATGCAAACCTTGCCCCTATGTTCTGTATGTTGCCTCTCTCTCTCTCTCTCTCTCTCTCTCTCTCTCTCTCTCTCTCTGTCTCTCTCTCTGTCTCTCTCTCGCCAATGTTTGGTTTGCCTGCTATTTTCTCACAACTCTGCTAAACTGATTGCTTTTATTTCTACCAGTTACACTTGATGCCCTTTTGTCTATATTAGATTCTCAAATAAATCCTCTCACAATCAATTCCTTTCACTCAATTATATTTACAGTGTGAGCATAACCATAGAGAACAACCAACCAAGTTTCACCATCACAAGTCATGAGCCATATTTCCCTTGTGTGCAGGTGGTGATCATGCGGGATTACCACCATGACAATGTGGTCGACATGTACAACAGCTACCTTGTTGGTGATGAGCTCTGGGTGGTCATGGAGTTTCTGGAAGGAGGTGCCTTGACAGACATCGTGACTCATACCAGGTAAGTCCTTTTACTATCCAAGACAGATAACCTAAGGTATCTTTTATTCTAATCAGGGCATGGCCTTGGTGACTATTTTCATGTACTCTTCATAAACTGCAAGCACTTTGGAGTCAGGGGACACCACTTTCCTTGTCTTGTACACCCCAGAGTTTCCATTGTAACATCATGAATATACAGTCTATCCAATTCATAGTCATCCTGACCTACAAGGGGATTAATACCTAATTATTTTTTGATGGTTTTATTTCTTTTTCTGATGCTGGTGATCAAAGCCAGAGTTTGCTCTTGCTAAGCATTTTCCCTATCGCTGAGCTACACTGGTGTATCCCACCTTGGTATAAAATCTACAAGCTGCTGAGAATGAAGTTTCAGTGACAACGACTAGAGTTGCCTATTCCCTGAATAGATTTCTAAAAGTGAATTTCATTCTTTGAGTTAAAGTGCTACTTTCACATTCTAATACCATCCCAGGTACCTGAGGAAAGATGGGGCAGGTAAAGGATCAAAGCCCACTGTCAGAATAACTAATCTCATCTGAGAGAGAAGTTCTTCTGTTCTGTTAAGGAACTGAAGGTGTGTGGATGGCAGAGGAGTTCCATGTAAGAGTTCACGGAGTGCATTTACATCAGTGTCCCAAACGCTGACAAGTGGCGTCTTTTTCCTTTGACATGTGATGGGCTCCTGTGCGCACACAATACTTGTGCTCTGGGCTTCACATCGCAAAGAGTTGCTTTTCTGACCTTCTGACTTTCCACTTAGGGACTGCCATGGACTATGTATTTCCAAGACCCAAGCAAGTGGCCTCTCTTGATATGTTCTTAAACCTGTCTTAATCCTTATATGTCATTTTTTCCTCTAGAATGAATGAAGAGCAGATAGCTACCGTCTGTCTGTCAGTTCTGAGAGCCCTTTCCTATCTTCACAACCAAGGAGTGATTCACAGGGACATCAAGAGTGACTCCATCCTCCTGACCAGTGATGGCCGGGTGAGTTTGCTTGTGCCCTTCCTCTGTCGTGGGCATTATTCTCTTAAGAACACCATCTCACGGTTCCAATTTGTCTTAGTCACAAGTCGCCCACTGTACTTCCGGAGGACTTACAGAGAGGAAATTGCCTTCTCATCCTCTGTAGCGTCCTGTTAGCCAGAATTACCTGTGACCTGAATGTGACGGATAATTTGCTTCCTTTACAGCGAATGCAGGAAGTAATGGAAGCTATAGAAATTTCTTTTCTTTTTATGCCACATTCCTGTTTTTGGAGCTGTCTTTCCAGGTCTGTGTCTACTTCTTCCCTCAAATGTGCATGTCCACAGTATCTCTGGAGTCCCTTCAAGAGGCTGATAACCAACTCCACCTGGGTCAGTAGAGGAGAGTTTATTAGAGGGATAATTTACAGAAGTATGGGCAGATGTGGAAACATTGTAAGGAATGGGGAAAGGAGGAGTGCAGGTCTGCAGAGCAGCCTCCCGTCCTACTGCCCCGTGCCTCAGCAGGTGAGGGGCAGCTTGCTGTTGGGATCTGGTAACAGAGATTGTCCCTGTGCTCAGGGATGCTCAGAAAGAGCTCTAATCATCTATGGAGGTCAGACCAGGAACCTGCAGGGTGCAGCTGGGAATAAACACCTCAGTGTTGTCCTGCTCCTTGCTTCCCAGTCCTGATGTTCTCCACTGGCTCACCCCAGCTGGAACACATCTCAGTTTAATTTGGCCCCCAAGATTCAGAGAAAAGAAAACAAATCTTAAAGAACGAGCAGCAGGTGCTGGTTACCTCAGCATATCTCCAGGCCCAGACTTCTGTGCTTCTCATCAGTGCAACCTGTGCAAGGGTTTTGTTAAAACTTAGAAGCTACACCAGGGCACTCAGCGTGCAGCAGCCAAGGATGTGACACATTAGGCTTTGGTGGGAGAGTTTTGGCACAGAGTCCCTTTCACCTTTGTAATTACCCTGAAACTCCCATTAGGTGTAATGGCCCTGGGATGAATGAAATCAGTCATCCTTTTGGTCTCTGTCTTTTCTAATCTAGCAACTGCAACCGTATAGAAAGTACTTATGTCACATCAGAATTGCCCAGAAATGATCAGAGGTCAGCAGGAAGAAGAAATTGTCTAGGAACTTATGCTTTTTCATTTTGTTCTAAAAAAGATTATAAAGTTGATTGCAGGAAATGTAGTAAATTCAGAAAAGTGTAGATGATAAAATGAAGAACACTTACAATCCTGTTACCTGCTTTCTCCACTTTTTTGCGTACCATTTATACATAATTTAAAATTTGGAATTATAATTAATGAGGAGTTTAAGTCCCATTTTTTGCATGACTGTGACAGAACTTTTCTTGGAATGGAGGAGTGTGGGAGTGCAGGGCAATCAGGTTTTGCTACACTCCAAACTCAGGGGAGTAAAACCACCACCACTTACCTGCTCACAAATCTGTGGGTCAGTATCTTGGGCTGAAGGCACTGGGACAACTGGTCTCTGCTGCATGAGGTGCCAGCTGAGCTCTCTCGCATTTGTGACCGGCCTGCAGTTTATGTCACACTTGCTCGCCTGGAAGTTGGCTGGCTCTCAGCAGGGCCAACAACACAGCTGGGCCAAGTGTGATTTATCTCCCAGAAGAGTAGCTCTGGTGCTGGTGACAGAGTTCCCAAGAGTAACAAGAAAGGCAAGCCCCAGTACAGCAACTCTTTTGAGCCTTCTGTTTATGTCATGTTTGCTAAAGTAAATCAACCATGTGACTGTGCCCAGATTCTGGGAATATGGAAGACTCGACTTCTTCATGGAAGAAAAGCAATCACACTGCAAAGAGATACAGATAAAGAGGAGAATAATTTGTGATCCCTTCTGTACCCTCATTTGTAGAATAAAGGAAGTCGAGAAAGGGCAGGAATCCTCCCTGACCTGAGTGAGGCCCCACAGAATTTGCACTGAACTGGCCCAAGGACCAGCTCTGAGGACTAGTACTTTCAGGGGAAAAAAATCAAGTCAATTTCTGGGCAAGCTTTCTTTTTCTCCATCTTGAAATTGATGGTACAAGCTTTCTTGCTAGAAGTACGTATCTGATGTCAGCATCAGACATAGGACAAGACAATACATCAAGTCACTTACAGATCTTCCCTTCCTTCAGTACGCAGGTTATAAAATCATTCCATTATCATTGTCATGGGTATGACTTTTGTCTCAAACATCTACTCCCTCTGTACACCCAGTAAAGAGCTTACAGGCATCGGCTCACTATAAGGGCCATTAATCCTAGTGGTTTGTTTACACATTTATTCCACAAATATCTGGAATGTCTAGTAAATGTCTACTGTGTGCTGGGTCAGTTATAAGATCTAACAATGAACACAGCAAAATCACTTCCTTGATTAAACTAGAGGGCAGGAGTGTGATAATATGCAAATAGAGAAGCAAATAGAATCATCACCAGACAAGTGCTGGTGTTAAAGTTTCTGAATTTAATTCAAGCAGAGTACAAAGGACAGTGTATGAGGAGATGGAGCTCAAGTACAAGGGACATTACAGCAGAAGGTTCGGAGGGACTGGATCAGGTCCTGTGACTTTCAGAGAGGAGAGTGTTCTATGAAGAAGGAACAAACAGTGTATTGAGTGGACCTGTGTCTCTTACACATGTCATCCAAAGTTTGCTGTATTCACATTTCAGAATAGAGCACCAAGTTGATTCTAATGGCTTTCCCCAGTTTCTGTAGCAAGGAAACTTCTGTATATAAAGTTATAGACAGATATAGACAGGATACTGACTACTCCAGAGAATCTTGAGTATATTTTTATACTGATTTATTTATTAGAGCATAACGTGATGTAGTGGGGAAGATTTGTCATTATCTATAGCTTAGTCACGTGGTGACTATAGCTGTTATACCAAAGCCCTTCACAGGCTCTTCAATCAAGGGTCATTGTAGCACTTAGTTTTGAAGGTTGCTTGGGCTCAGAGGCTGACTTATGGCAAGATGACACCCAGAGTGGAGTCAGCCACAAGTGACTGACCACATGTGACTAGAAAGCCATCTGAGATGTCAGCCAGAAAACCTGCAGGTGGCCTCTACATGAAGCATGAGCTTCCTTGTGGTATGGAAACCAGGATTTAAGAAAACAAAGTTCAGGTTACACAGCATTTTTATGACCCAGGCTTGAGATTAAATAATGCCATCACCATAGTCACTAATCTGTTCAGATTCAGTGGGAGGAAGTAGTGAATCCTGGGAGGATTCTCAGTGGGAGGGGAACTAAGTGTAGTGGAAGAGGAGCTCATGGGATGGGCAAAATTATCACTAGCATTGCACTCAAGAAGTACTGGATTCTCTTCCTGTTGAAAGAAGTCTGACATCATTAACTTTAAAGAAATATAAATTTAAACTAAAATGAGATATCATTACATACCTGTAAGAATGGCTGAAATGAACTACAGTAATAACTCATTGCAGGTGGGAATGTAACTGTCTGGAAGATAGTTTGTTCCTTCCTTTCAAAAGTAAACGATCATTACTGCAAAATAAAAAGCTTAGAAAATGACAGTGAACTGCTTAGGCTTACATGAAGAAACTGCCTTCCACTTCTTCAAAGAGAATAAGGAATTTATTTTATAACACTGAGAGTAAACCATCCACTGGTTGTCTATGCCATACTAATATTTAATGAGTCACTCATTTGTGGCAACCAAGGTGAAGGTGGTAGCTGAATTTTAAAAGCTTCTCATGAAGTGGTTCAAAAATTACTTACATCATTTGCATAAAACCCACAGAACCACACCAGTTAGAAAGTAGTTGCTTAGTCAAAAAAAATCCCATATTCCCTGGTAATTGAGCTTTCAGCAGAATCATTACCATTTTCCTTGGCCAGACACTTGCATTTGAGAGATGATACTCAGCAGCCGCTTGCCACTTTTGATAAAAGTGTTTAACTTTTATCAAATTCAAGAGAGGGAATGGAATTCAGACCCTTGATCAACTAAGCCCCATGAATGTACTGGGAAGAAACACACAGTTGAGCCCAGTTTGGGCAACTTAGCAACTTACCAAGACCTTGTCTCTAAATGTGTGTGTGTGTGTGTGTGTGTGTGTGTGTGTGTGTGTGTGTGTGTGTTTTTGAGAGAGAGAGAGAGAGAGAGAGAGAGAGAGAGAGAGAGACAGAGACTGAGAAAGACAGACTGAGCTAGTTTAGCACAAGTAGTCTATATCTCTTGCTTGTTTCTCCCCTACTTTCTCCCTTCCCTCCCTCCCTCTCTCCCTTTCCCGCCCTTCCTCCCTCCCTCTCTCATACATTGATTGCCACACTTTAAAACTTAAGCAAGTTCACTTAAAGTTTCTGTCTCTTTCCCTGAACAACAAGGGTCCAGGAACACTGTGCCTGAACTCACATGGCAGTCATGGACTTGCTGTGATGAGGTCACCTTACAGCGCATAGCACATGCTTTGGATTTTTATGGCTCTCCCTACTTCAATAATAACTGATTCTACCTCTAAATACCCCCACCTGCACCTCCACCTGAGGCCTTGCTTTGGCCACTGGAGGGTGCTCCTGTGGTGCAAGGCAAGGTCCTATTCTTGGAGAATGAATGTTCCACCACCCCTGGAGCAGCCCTGAAACACATGTTGAGTGTTGGGGTGTAAATACCCCAGTTCCCTCTCTCTTGCATGGAATCACTGCAAGTCTCTTGTCCTGCAGGTCCCCAGATCAGCAGGATTGAGCTGTAGTTACCCACAGGGTCAATTGCTTGGTCACTAATCCCTGAATGGCTGCTGTCCTCCCTTGTCATACTGACCCATTTCCTGCTAAGTTCCTTACATCCTTTGCACTGAATCCTTGTCTTGGGGTACTCTTCACAAACTCAGGGTCATGGAATGTGTCTGTGCCCAGTGTCCGGCAGAATTCGAAACAGGAATACAGGATAGGAAAATGGTCAGAGACCAGTTAGGAGAGCCTTAGAACCAACCCGGCCACTGTTACTAATGGTCAGCTGGAAGCCAGTGTCT